AAGAATTTGTCCAAAATGACTTCATCCTTTCCAAAATGAAAAAAAAAAGTTACCAAAATTACTCAAAACTTTAGCAAAATGACCCCAAATTCATCAAAAGTATTTAGAAATGGTCTGAAACACTTTTCTAGAATGACATGAACTTGTTCAACATGACTCAAAGTTTGCACAAAATTTAAAAAACATTGACATTTTCTGGGCTGACAAACACATTTGAGATCTGTTACAAACTGCAATCAAACCGACAAGAGCTGTGGTGTGATTTAGTCTCAGTTTGAATGTTTTAACCAGAACTTTACATGCAGTCCTGTAGACGTTGAACTGATTCTGCTGCTGTCTGAAGCGCTCTGATCCTGAATCAACGTTTTTTCAGCACGACGATCGAGACGGAGAGAAGACCTGGGTGGATAACCGAGGTCGAGGCCGAGGCTCCTTCCCGACTCGCCGCGGACGGTTTGTTTACCGGAAAGGCGGCGGCAGCAGCCCGAAGTGGACTCACGACATGTTCCAGGGAGGAGAGGAGGGAGAGCTGGGCGACGACGGCATCGAGGTCGACCACAAGGACGTGAAGGGCGCCGGAGACTCCTCCAAGCAGTGAGGCTCCGCCGCCATGTCGAGTCCAGGAAGGCGTATGTTTGTGTTTCTCCTCCTCATCTCATCGTTCAACGGTTTCAATGTTCAGTGGAGACAAGGAGGACTCTGAAGAGCAGCACAGTTACTGTGAGAGGTTTTCTTTGTTTTGTTTTGTGTCTTTGTGGGAGAAATTAGCGAGAACAATTGAAAGGTTGATTTTCTATGACAAAATAAGAAAAGCATTTGTGCCTTAGAAAATAATAATAATAATCCTACAGTGGTGTGTGTTTCGTGACGTGTGTGAAGGTGCCGCCTCGGACGCTGGAGGTGTGTCGCTGTGGAGGAACCGTTAGTTCTATGTGTTGGTTTGGAGCTCTGATAAATCTTTGATGTTACTGCATGACACGTTTGATTCGTACTCGCTCCACGGGACCAATCAGCAGCCGGCGTTAAACCATCGGACACGTTCGTCACTTCAGTCACCTGAGCGCTCTCCTCACCTGTGTGTCGTTAGGACGTGGACATGTTTGTGTGCTGCCGTATATTCTCATCGGTTTGTGGGTGTTTTCAGTTAAAAAAAACAAACAAACAAACGTGTAGTTGATTTTAAAAAATTGGCACCAAAACCCTCTGATGTGCTTCAGACGGATCAACGCGTAGGTCTCCTGCCTCATATCAACTTCTGTAACGTTTGTTTAGGTTTTTAACAAAAAAAAAAAAAGAATAGTGATTACAGAGAGCTCATATCTGTATAGACTTCTAGGATCTAAATTATTGTAATCCTGCAGTTTTAATTCAGTCAGAACCCGGACACGCAAAAGAAAAGAGAAACCTGAACATTTGCTAAACACATTTTGTCAAAGGCAAAAGATGAAAGTGTATATTTTTAAGAGGAGTCGACACGAACTGGCAGAAGTGGTGGAGTCGGCTCTGCGCTGCTTCGTCCCACCTCGACTGTACATACTGCATGTACTCTACAGGACTGTAGGATGTGTTCTGTTTGTTTAATCTGAAGCTGAAAACTTTTTTACTGTTCTCAAGAGCTTTGAAGTACCTGTCTTTTAATTTTCAATAAATTTTTCTTTGATTCAGGGCATTTCTGTGAATGTGAGTTTAAATATCTGTTTATTTCTCCTGAATGATTGTGTTTAACTTGTAAATATGTAGGAAGCAGTGAGCCGGACCTCCACGTGTGATGAAGGTCGTTGTATTGATCACCGTATATTTGTTTTGTTCATAAAGCCAGAAGCTTGTATTTAGTATCTACTACGAGTTAACTGACTGTCAGGTCATTTCTTTAAATTGTTTTATTGGACCAACCGTTCACATAAAGCAAAAATAATAAGATGCAAAGCTGAGATCAGAACATTTTGGGAATTTGTACTTTAACAGTTTGTCCTTTAAACGAGTCGTCAGTTGACATAAAGTTCTGATCATTTATCACAAGCAGAAGAGCAGAACCTCATCCTTGTTAAAAAATAAATAAATCTGGTTAAAACCTAAGAAAAAAAATAAAACCAAATAAAGTCTATTTACTATAAAATAGAAATAATTGAAC